CCCTCAGGAGTATTTCTCTCTGAAAACAGGGATAATACCCTGTCATGCAAGGTGATTGTGAGAATTGGAAAGAATGTGTACATTGCCTGGTGCCTTGCCATCCAAATGTATTTCATTAGAGAGAGCAGCAACATACGCCCTCCCGCCCCCTTTTTAAACTAAGCGGGGCCACGTGGAATGACGTTTATGGCACAAGTAGGAGGATCTCCTAATGGCATTAGCTTCTCGGTGTCCCTTGGGAGAGGAAACTTTCTGAAACACCGTAGGACTATCTTCCCTGAACTTCCGGTCAGGTGTGGTGCTGTCCTGCTGCGCCCTCCACCCTTGGGTGCCGAGGAAACCGCAAAACTCCGGCCCCGAGAAGCGAGTCCCAGGGACCACCACCAGCAAGCGGCTTTGGAAGAGTAACTTGCACCACTCTCGCTCCCATTAAACAGGCACTCCCCCTTTGATTGACAGGTGAAGTCACCAGTGCGCATCCGGGGGCGTTCCCTCGTGCGCACTCGGGGCGAGCCGCCTCTGTACGCTGATGGCCCAATCGCGGGCGCCGGAGATGCTGTGGGGCGGGGCTCGGTGTCCGGCAGCCAATGGGCAGAGCCCAGCGGGAGCGGCGAGGGCGGTGCGTTTGCGGCTGGCGGCAGAAGCGGCTGCGGGGGGTCTGGGCAGGGCTGGGCATCGCAGCCGGAGTGAGAGCGGGAGCCGGGCCGGAGCCGGGAGCTGAGACGCCGTCGCGGCCGGCAGGAGTGTGCGGCGGATTGGGAGGCGAGCGGCCGCCGAGGTGAGGGGTCGCCGCGACGGTTGGGGCGACGACGGCGGGACGCGGGGGCGCTGGTCCGCGGCGGGGCCCGCGCCCTTTCAGGGCCGCCGCGCTGGGCTCCGCGCCCTGAGGGAAGCCGGTCGGGCCGCGCAGAACTTCCTGTCTCTGTGGGAGGGGGCGAGTCCTCTGGGCCCAGGGGGCGCCCGGAGAAGACATCTTGGGGAGGACAAGGGCGAGTGGGGTCGGCTCGGGGAAGGGGCAGGAGCCCAAGGGGGCGGCGCTGGGGGAGCGGGGCAGTTTTCCGGGGTCTGGGGCCTGCTAGAGAGAGAAGTGCGGGAGCAGGGCCGTCGGGGGTTAAGGGCTGCTAATGGGGGTGGGGGCGGAGACAGCTGCAGAAGGGGGAGCTGGGGCGAGTTTTGGATGGACGCGCTTTGCGAGAAGTGGGAATCCGAGGCGTGCAGAGGTTAGACGAGGGTGCCGGAGCTGCGCTGGAGGGGAGGCGTGGCTGGGACGCGCCAGTGAGAGGGCAGGGCTTGGTCCTGGGGTGGCCTGGAGGGCGACGCAGGATACTTGCGGATGCGCTGATTTGGGGCGCTTTGATGAGCATCCTCCACTTTTACTTCCTTCCCACCCTCCCTGTCCTGGCTCGCGCGCTCGCTCTCTCTCTCTCTGTCTCTCTCTCTGTCTCTCTCTGTCTCTCTCTCTCTCTCTCTCTCTCTCTCTCTCTCTCTCTCTCTCTCT